TACTTAGTAAAAATAAATCAAGTATATCTACAGAAAGACTAGCAATACAAAAAAAAACTAGCACCAGTTATACCTTTTTATTAGCATTTTATTTGATTTCTGGCAATTTTTTTAACATATTACGTACAAGATATAACAGTATCCCCGTTGCTTTACAGCATTGTCCTTTGTAGAACCTATACTGCAAATTAAAAAAAAATAAGAAAGACACAAAAAGTTCATAATATTTCACTTACATTCCATAAAAACTGTATTTAACATCTTTTCTTTGTTATTATTGCCAAATAAGATATTTTTCGAAATTTGAAATACCCAATTTCTGTATTAAATATTTTTGCTGACTTACAAGTTTAAAAATTGGGACTTATCTGAATGTTGTTTAATCTATCAGCGTCAGAATATTATAATTGAAATAAATAAATCAATTATTAACTTAAAGTAAATCTATAATTCTCTAATCTGTTTTAAATATTAGTGGTTATTCAACCATTAGTAGGTTATTCAACAGATTAAATTACTTAAAATTGCATTGTGTAGCCTTAGGCTATGCGCTGACAAGCAATTTTTAATCGGCCGACTATTTAGTTACATTTTTTTAGTAACCAATATATCCTTATGGAGCTGCGCTAACATGCAATCAAATAGTCGGCCGATCGACTTCATAAGTATGTATTTTTTTCACTTTTGCAACTAAATAGTCGGTCAACTAAAAGTAATAGGTCAGCGCGTAGGCTTATTGTATCGAATTTCCCTTCACAGTATCCAGATTATTTAAAATCCTACGTCAGGGAATTCGAAGTGTCTTGTTTTTTAAATTAATATTTTTTTTAGAAAATATGCGATAATTGTTTTGAGTAGTTTATTAATAAATTTAACAGCAATTTATTCTGACCACCTGCCGGTCGCCATTTTAAAAACTCTACTTGAACGTCAAAAGTTAAACAATAGTCAATTGACATGATTTGGCGAGTTTAGACGGTCATATCGCATTCATGCGATTTGAATTCAAGTGACGATCAATTAATTTGACTTGTGTAAACGCGTCTTTATTGCCACAAAAAACACACAATTAGAGAAACAGAACATAGTAGTACGTTTTGTACTCAAATGCTATTCTCTGCTTTTCGTTGGTCAGATCGAGGGTTACAGCAAAGTCGGCCTGACGATGGAGAAAAATCTCCGAAACCGGTCGTCGAATGGCTGTTCCCTTCGGTCCGATGAACTTAATGCAGAGAATAAGCATATATGTAGGTTTTTTTGGCCCCTTTTTCCGCTACTCGTATTTTGTTTATTTATATATACCCTACCTAAGCCTTCTTAGCTCCATCTACGGTAACGTGGATGAAGCAAGCGTGTTTGTCCAGTAGACCGCTGGTTTTAATTTTGGCGGTACGACATGTGATTGTCACAGCTGCCGCTAGATGGCGTAGAGCGTCTAGCACTCTCGCCATAGTAGTACGTTTTGTACTCAAATGCTATTCTCTGCTTTTCGTTGGTCAGATCGAGGGTTACAGCAAAGTCGGCCTGACGATGGAGATAAATCTCCGAAACCGGTCGTCGAATAGCTGTTCCCTTCGGTCTGATGAACTTAATGCAGAGAATAAGCATACATGTAAGGTTTTTTGACCCCTTTTTCCGCTACTCGTATTTTGTTTATTTATATATACCCTACCTAAGCCTCCTTAGCTCCATCTACGGTAACGTGGATGAAGCAAGCATGTTTGTCCAGTAGGCCGCTGGTTTTAATTTTGGCGGTACGATCTGTGATTGTCACAGCTGCCGCTAGATGGCGTAGAGCGTCTAGCACTCTCGCCATAGTAGTACGTTTTGTACTCAAATGCTATTCTCTGCTTTTCGTTGGTCAGATCGAGGGTTACAGCAAAGTCGGCCTGACGATGGAGATAAATCTCCGAAACCGGTCGTCGAATGGCTGTTCCCTTCGGTCTGATGAACTTAATGCAGAGAATAAGCATATATGTAGGGTTTTTTGGCCCCTTTTTCCGCTACTCGTATTTTTTTATTTATATATACCCCAGGGGGGTGACAGTAAACCAGAAAATTGGAAACAGTACCAGGGGGGTGACAGTGAAATAGGAAAATTGGAAACAGTCATTAGTGTCATTCTTGTCATTCTCCTCACGACAAGTATGGCCGCCTAGACAAGGACAGTATTGTTTTTGTCTAACTTCACAGTTTAGAATTGACAGATTTTAGTTTCAGAGACAACTTCAGATTTGTTCTAGAACAAATTCGAAAATATTCGACGCCATTTTAATTCATTCCGTTTAGTTTCGTTTTAGAAGTTCAATTTAATATTTCGGCTGAAATTTATAAATATAATACATGAAGAATCCTGGAGAAAATGACGTTTCTGCAGTAGTAGGTATGTCCCATGTATATGAAAAATAGGTAGTAAATAAACAGTGTTTTTACATTTTTTAGATGCAAGAAAATGGTGTTATCTCTTTGATCGGCGATTTTTTTGAAAATGGAAACAATTTACAGCAAGGTAAGATCATTTTTAACTATAGCCAACATTAGTTATCTCCAGTATGTGCGACTTATTGTCAATAATGCAATAAATCGGACTGATAATCTGATTATGTTATCCGACTAAAAGTCTCTTTTTGCTTTATAAGCCAGGTCTCTTTGGGAATAATGGACGCTTTTTTAAACAGTATATTTATATTTTATACCTGTTGATATTTTTACATTGTTAATTTTAGTATAAAAAAAATTGTTTTTCTGTTTTCAGGTTTTTGTATAAGGCTCCCGTTTTCATGTTCCTGTGTCCGTTTTCTATCCTTGAAGTCTGCGAATACGTGTGTTTATTTACAAATTAATGTAAGTCATGCTTATACCTTAACTAATTTACGTTAAAAGTACATGTAATTAACTAATTGGTATTGAAACAATACAATCCTCTATATTTTTTATATTTATTTAGTCACGTTGTTCCATATTTCAAATAAATATATGTGAATAAATTATTTTTTGGTCTTATTTATGAAAGAAAAATACAAAATACATTTGAACTGAAAGAGGGCCCGCCATTGAATAACCGGAAACGGAAATGAAAATTAAGCCATCATGTCCTTATCATGTCAACCTGTCAATTGGAAAATTAGTTCTCCAGACGACAACGAAGGCTTTCGGTGGCGTATCGTGTTTCCACGATTTAACACAGAGTTGACACTTCTTTCTAGTTAATTATTTTATGAACAGTACTGGCGTGGTCCTACCCAGGCAGAAAGCATGGCCTTCTAGACTGTCCTAGACAAAAATCTGAATATTTCTATATGATTTCTGTCAATTTCTGTTACGGAACATTTTTATGCACGTCGGCGTCCTCTTTTTTTGTCTGTGTATCAGCCATGTGTCAACTCCCGAGGCCTCTGGCAAGGTCGGGCGCCATTTTAATTTTTGCCGTTTAGATTTGATTGGAAGTTTGTTTGTGATATTTCGGCTGAAATTAATAAGTACAAAGATGTTTTTTGATATTAAGTTCCTTGTTAACACTTTAATAAAGTATATATGATATTAATTACATGAAGAAAATGATAAAATCGACGTTTCTGCGTGTAGTAGGTATGGGCCATATTATATGTAAAAATAGGTAATATATTAACTGTCTTTATATTTTTTTTGCTTTAGACCCAAGGATCTTGGGATATTCTTTGCCAAGGATTTTTCCGTATCTCTACTTTAAAGACTGATCGGTGATTTTGAGCAATTGAAAGCAAGTTATACAAGGTAAATTATGATTATTGAACTATTATTAACCTACATTAATTATCTACAAGATGAAGAGAAATGTGTAATTACATATCACATAGATACCTTTATTATGTATTTTCATAGCAATAATGCAATAAATCTATGTATGTAGATTATTTTTAAAATACAAATGAGGTATTAGATGTATATGCATCATATTTTTTATTCATTTTATTTTTATTCAAGTCCTGTTTGATTTAATCTACAAAAGTCTTATGTACCTATATTTATGTTTTTTTACATTTTTTTTTGATTCCAGGTTTTGCATTCCAGGTTTGGGTTCCTGTTGTCTTTTTCCTGCTTCCATTTAGTTAGTTTTATGCCCGTGAAGCTGTGAAAACATTTATTTATCTTCAAGTTTCTGCAAATCAGTGCACTGTTACTTTACTGATTCACTTTAACACAGCATCTCTAATGTTATTTAAATATTTCATATTGATACAGTAGTTTATGTGTTTATAGCTCTTTAATTGTGTTGATTTGCATATTTACATTGTTCTAAATTCCAAATAAATATTTTTGAGTAATTTTGTTGTATTATTTACTACTAGAAAGAGTAAAAAGTATATTAACCCTCATTTAAACCTCCTGAACAGCCCGCCATTAAAAACCGGAAACGGAAATAAATTTCATAAAATTGAAATTGTCATATCTATGTCATGTCAAATGTCCCAGCCGCCATATCTGAAAATTAGTTACCCAGGCAGCCACGCTGTTTCTATAATTTAACATTGACTTGACACTTCTTCTTGTATTTATTATTTTATGATATACCCTACCTAAGCCTTCTTAGCTCCATCTACGGTAACGTGGACGAAGCAAGCATGTTTGTCCAGTAGACCGCTGGTTTTAATTTTGGCGGTATGATCTGTGATTGTCACAGCTGCCGCTAGATGGCGTAGAGCGTCTAGCACTCTCGCCATAGTAGTACGTTTTGTACTTAAATGCTATTCTCTGCTTTTTGTTGGTCAGATCGAGGGTTACAGCAAAGTCGGCCTGACGATGGAGAAAAATCTCCGAAACCGGTCGTCGAATGGCTGTTCCCTTCGGTCTGATGTCTGATGAACTTAATGCAGAGAATAAGCATATATGTAGGGTTTTTTGGCCCCTTTTTCCGCTACTCGTATTTTGTTTGAAAAATATTTTTTTCTGTATTATGTATACAACAATTATGGTTAATTTTCGGTCCCCAAAACACTATTTTTTAAATTTCCAACACTTACCCTAGGCGGCGTTCCAGAACTGAACAGTATCAGGCCGTTGGCTTCGTTAGTGCGGAATTTAAATGAAATATTTCCAGACTTCTTCGCGTTCCACGTCGGCAGGATCTGGAATAGAAAAAAAACGACCATTCTTTAGCAGGGAGACGTTGGCAAGGAGAAAAGAAATAGCGCCAAGGACCAGCGAGCGCTAAGTTATTTTTAAACGGACGTTTATTCGGTGAGAGTCACTTGAGCGCTTGTAATTTGTTTTGTGTCGAGTGCAATAAAAAGGAAAACAGGGCGAAATTGTGTGAGCTGGTGTGGTGGTAGGATGTAGGTCAAGTCAGAATCTTAGATGAGCTATGAGGCGATAAATAATTCATAGGCGTTTGATAAATATTTGAGAGGTTCATAAAAAAACTTTAATAACTTAGTAATAAGTCTTTAAATATTATATTGACTAGGTGCGAGAGACTATTACAGGTTTAAAATTAAATAATTCTAAATAGGCCAGTAAGCGAGGGTTTTAGGGTCCGAATTCTGAACACCTGTACCGATTGACGTGAAATTTTAACAGTGAATAGAGATATATGTAAGAAACAAAAGTTACATAGTAGCTATGTGTGCTTTCACCATGGGGGTGAATGCCGCCATCTCAGGTCAATCGGTGCGGGTGTCAAGAATTCGGAGATAATACCCGGCTCTGGTGCACAATAGGTCCCCACGCATTTAACACTTTTTTGGGATTTTTTTGCAAGCTTATCTTAAACTGAATATTTTTAAGCATAAAAATTGTTGGATGAATGTGTTTTATCTTTAAAAAGCAGCAAAAAAACGTATTTTAGGTACAGGCGACGGACAGTAAATATGTTAAATTTTCTACACGGATTCAGTAAAAACATCACATATTAGTACTTTATTACCTTATATAGACGTGGAATGATCTAATTTAAGCACAAAAACGTAACGAATCTTCTTTGTAAGCATAAAAATTAAGAAAATATATTTATTTACATCAGCTCAAGCTAGCAATTTTATGACTTTTTCGATTGACAGTTAATCGATCATCGGTATGTCATCTATGGCCTTCGCATAGAATTTGCGACGTTGTCAATAAAATTACTTTATATGATTTTCTTCTGAAATAAAGTTGTTGTGGAGGGACTTAAAACGGTAAGTTATCACTTTAGTGCAACAAAAATTGAACTGTCTAGTAGCTTATTCGTTAGTGTGGATTATTTTAAAGCAATTTCTGAAATAAAATTTGCGGATTTTTCAGGTTCTACGAAAATATAAGTTTTTTTAATATATACTGTTTTTCGACGCGTAATCAATGAAGTTTTGTCATTAGGCTCAATTAGGTTAGCCTGGTTATTTGGAAGGTGGTAATGCATTGGTTAGCCTGGTTATTTGGAGGGTGTTAATGCAATGGTTAGCCTGGTTATTTGGAGGGTGGTAATGCATTGGTTAGCCTGGTTATTTGGAGGGTGTTAATGCATTGGTTAGCCTGGTTATTTGGGGGTGTTAATGCATTGGTTAGCCTGGTTATTTGGAGGGTGGTAATGCATTGGTTAGCATGGTTATTTGGAGGGTGTTAATGCATTGGTTAGCCTGGTTATTTGGGGGTGTTAATGCATTGGTTAGGTTAGGTTAGATAGGCTGGTTATTTGGAGGGTGGTAATGCATTGGTTAGCCTGATTATTTGGAGGGTGTTAATGCATTGGTTAGCCTGGTGATTTGGAGGGTGTTAATGCATTGGTTAGCCTGGTTATTTGGGGGTGTTAATGCATTGGTTAGGTTAGGTTAGATATTCTGGTTATTTGGAGGGTGGTAATGTATTGGTTAGTCTGGTTATTTGGAGGGTGTTAATGCATTGGTTAGCCTGGTTATTTGGGGGTGTTAATGCATTGGTTAGGTTAGGTTGGTGGGGAGTGTTTGGAAGTACGCAGATCACATCGATTTCGGAATCTTACTGAACAAATCCGGGAAAAATATATTTTTAAACAATTGTGCTAAATACTGTGTAATGATTTTATTGTCAATTTATTTTTATAGTGTTTTTGTTTTGCCTCGTTTATTATATTTTTAATTTTTCGTGTTCTTAAAGTGCGTACTAAATGTAAAAAAAAATGAATATAAAGTAGAACGTTTTCGTCGATTTTACACAGGGTGAGTATGGCAACACTGTGCATAACCTTGTATTTTACTGTCTTTATGAAGGTTATAATAGGGAGTTTTCGCATTGAAATGTAGTGAAAATTTGGAATTTTCAATTATTTTTTTTCGTAGAAAAAGTGGTTCATCCAACAATTTTTTTCTTTTAAACCATTCCATTAACTATGGGATCCACATTAAAAATTAAAAAAACCACGATTTCGTGGGGACCTGTTCTGCACAAGACCCGTAATACCCTATTTTTATCCTCGCTTACTGGCCTAAAAGTAAGTTTGATTGGTTTGGGACTGGTTATGCCCGGTTATACATACACGGTTCAGGATCAGTTCAGTCATTTGTTGGTAATTTACTTATTTCGTTTTGAGCCATTTCTGGCTCCAATTCAATCAGCAATCGACACGAAAGAGAATTAAAAATATTTACTCAAAACTGACAACTAAAGAGACAGCTTTAATTATTTGTCAAATTACATAGAAACAAACGTCAACCCAGAACAATATTTTTTTCTACTCGTAATAAATTCCTTGAAATAATAATTTCTGAATATTTTTCAAAACGTATCTCGCTATGAAAAAAAAATAATATTAAGACTGATTTTCCTGCACTAACGTAATTTGTAGTGAAGTTTATATAGGAATAGACGATTGTACTGCAGTTTGAGATTATGTTTATGTAGGGTTTAGGGTCCACTATGAAAATATGCCATTAAGCTATTTTTTTTAAATGGATAAGGCGGGTTTTGCAACTTGACGCCTCAATTAAAAAATAATAATAAATTAAAACATGTTATGTTGTTTATTCGCACGTTAATTTTGAAATTAATATTCTGCAATTTTAAATGTTTATATTTATTTCAATTTCTACGATATTATAAAGTAAACGGTTCATGATAATATTTTGATATTATTTCGATCAGTAACTGTTATACTCTGTTTTTTTTCTCAGGTAAGATTATCTATGGATGGGTTTAAATATAAATCCGTCATGAGTCGTGTCTTGTTGTTTTTAACCAGTTTTATTGGTTTATTTAAAAAATGACAGATCGTATTTCATTTTTATTGGTTTGACGGAACGATGAACGACAAACGGACACCGATGCGTATGAACTCGCCTTTAGATTTTTGTCATTTTTGACGCTTGTCAAAGTCTTGCCAAATTATATGTTATAATTTTCTGTCAACTTTGTTAAATACCCTGCGTTTTGGAAGATGATGCATTTTGATTCGTATTATTACTTGTGTTTTGTGTCTTTTGAAGTCAAGTGGAGGAAAAATCGAGTGAAAATTAACTGTAGACCCAGAGCACAGTTTATGGTTAATACTCGCTGTCCAGGCAGAAAATCTTATACACCAATGAAGTTGCCATCGATAAAGTTTGTATACCTACCATTTCGTCGTAGATAAGTGCATCTCGTATATGGTAGAAGGATCAAACTAAACATATACTAAAAACTGGAGTAGCTGTAAAATATCGACATCACACGAGAGGTAAATAATGGATTTTAGTACTGCAGAAAAATAATGCCAAAGGTCCTGGTTTAAAAAAATTAAGATTAAAGTTAATTAATCAACCTTTAAGGTATAAAATTTGGTAGGTGTTATTATTATTAAAATAGTTTGTTTTATTTACCTATGTTGTTTTATTTATTCCTGTGGAATATTACAAATTTGTATTTGTACATAAGTTATATTGATAAATATAATCATAAATGCGGGTAGTTTCATAAAGCTTGAAAGTAAATAATAGTTCTTTTTTATATTTTTTTGGTATGTAGTGTCTTGTTCTTGTTTGTTTTGTATTAACACATACCGTTTTTATTAAATAAAATAACTCGATTATATTTTTCAGTTTTATACAGTTTTTTTCACAATATTTTGAAGTAATCACTTGTCATCTTGTCAATCAAATTTTAAATATATCCTGCTATGCGTTCCAGTTGTACCAACTTATTTCTTTGTAAAATACAATAAACTACTTTGAAATTAAAATGACAGACACATCTATCACTGTCAAGAATCTTCTCGTTGGACAGACTATAGATACAAAAATCGAATTTAATTTTTGTTTAAATAAACAACAAATATTTTTAGCAGGAAAACAGGAGAATATCAAATTAAATTTAATTAAATCCTGGTGTGGTATAGCTGCTCTCTGACAGATGCTATACATGGACTCTAATTAAAATATATCGTCAGATTTTCAATTTTATAAACAACAAAACAATAAACTCTGTTTTTCGTAAGTGTATATCCCAAAATAAATAAACTTTGTTTTAAATTTGTACTATTGAATAACAGGCTTTTATCCATATTTTCAAAATATTTTGGACAACAACATTTTTAATAGCTTTTAGTTTTGCATTTAAATCTGTAGAGAATTAAAAATATGTTATTTTAATTACATTTATTAATAAAAATTATACTTTAATAAGAAATCTGAGAGAGAGATTTAACCCTTAACTGGTCCGGTAATAGATATGTATCATAAACGGTCCGGCGTAGTCTGTGGGACTACGCCTTCTAAAAAGTGAAAAAAACAAACAAAAACTAAAAAATAACAAATTTTTATTTTATTATATGTTATATTATGTATTATTGAACTAATATAGACAAAAATGGGTTCAATTAATATAAACTTTAAGAAAATATAGTACAAAATAAAATAACATACATATAAATTTGAAAAAAAAGTAGATTTTTACTAAGCTCTAAAAAATAAAACCAAATTACTAACAGTCATTACAATATAGAAATATGTTTTTAGTACTATATATAAAAAAAACTATAAAACTGAAGTTAAAGAAAAGGTTTTTAGTTAGAGCATGAGGCAAAGTTCATTGTTTTCCTGAACATGTTTTATAAAATGGATTCGTACATTCTAGGCATTAAAAATAATTAAACTAGGACATAACATTGTCTTTAACTAGGATAAGAACTCTGGGATAATAATATCTCCGTAGGCGTGTTCTGGTTGTACAGGAATTGCATAAGTATTCTACCAATTGTAAAGTATATTTCTCTTGGAATATTTGACATTGTCAAACGCATTTGTCTGGCAGATTGTCATATTGTCACTGTCACGGTCCTCATCATATCATTTTAATAGAGTTTCTTCATAACTAGAGTCTCCTAAACACACTCTTTTCGAAGGCCCGGCCATATTTTACAAAAGTTTGTCAAACACAAAATCTTACGCAAACGGTCCGGCGTCGTTTGAGAGACTACGGCTTAAGTAACTTCTGCCATAACTTCTAAAAAACTAATCCAGTTTGGGCATAAATATGGTTATCAGTAGTTGACCGAGAGGGGGAGGATTAGCTGGAACGCCAATTGTGTGTGGGCGGTCCGAGTAACTAATGAGAATGAGTTAATTATTTGGCGTAGTCTGTCAGACGACGCCGGACCAGTTAAGGGTTAACTAGCAACCCGACAAACGTTGTTTTGTCATGTAAATATTTTTTATGAGACAACAGTCATCCTTATATACGGGGTTGAAAATTATTTATTTACTAATATCGGTATTAAAAAATAGGGGTTGATGGTAGAAGGGTGAAAATTTAGGGTTGTATGTATTTTTAATGACACATTATAAAAAAATAAAAATAAAAATTTTGTTAAAATGTATGCTTGTGAAATTGTTTAGAGGTTTATAGAAAGCATCTTAAATTTTTAAGTGATTTGTGTTTATTACTGACAGTACAAATTAAATCTAAAATTAGGTCCAAACATTAAATTTACATCCATATAAGTATGTTTTCGGACAACATCACAGGTACTAGAATATTAAGCTCTCTGAATATTTGAAGCTATCCGGAAAATCATTAATACAAGAAGTAAATAACAAGACCTCAATACTGCTACCTCATGGGATATCCCTGAACTATCATTTATTCAATAATATTAACAAATTACCTCTATAATAATATACATTCTGAACATTTGTTAACGTAAATAAACAAATTCAATTTGATTTCTTGCAATAATTTATCAGAAAAATGATCAAAACTGTGGTATTTTTGATATTAAGTGAATAAATATAAATAATTAATATCTTAGAAAAATAACAGAAATATAAAAATAGGGGAGTTTAAGAGGAGATTTTGGGATTTATTTTACACGTAGAAAAGTGTGCATTGAAATAATTTGACGATATAAGCATTCTAAGCTGTTGTACTGGGGTATTGTGTTTAGTGGTTCCATATTGGGTTGTTTTCTTGGTTAAGGATATGGCTGTAATGCTCTTTCCAGCGATTTTTGATTTGTTCTTACTCTTTTAGAAGTTCGCCATTTTGTGCCATGATTGGGCAGCTTACCTTCTTTGTTGGACCGTATACTTCTTTTACAGCCTCGAAGAATTTACGATAATCGTGATGCGTGGCGTACTTTTGAATCTGATTCGCTTTTTGTGACCACCATTTATCCTTTAGTTGGCGCAATTCTCTTCGAAGCGTGTTGTGGGCTGTTTTAAAATTGTCTATCAGTCTTAGATTGTGTGGATTTGCAGTGACTGCTTGATGTGGTCTATGCTTTTGTTCCAACATAGCCTGTATATGCGGTTGATTTTCGTTAAACCAGTCTGGTTGTTTCTTTTTGTTCGATTTTCCTTGTACTGCTTCGCTGGTTTTATGAATCGCATCCCTTAATTGTGTCCAGCCTTGTTCAGCTTGCAAGATTGAGATTGAAGTTATCGGTGGAAGTGATTTTTGATGGCTTCCGGAGGGCGTCGACGGTATTGTTGCTCTCTAGACCCCGTACGTTCAGTCTGGTCATGTTGTTTTGCTTTTTACAGTGTGGATATTTGGGTTTTAACTGGATTTTCATAAAAATCTGACAACCCTACATAAACAACACGATCATGATGCACTCTATACAGCAAGTCCTTTGTACAATTCACATGTAGTAAAAGTAGGTAGTATAAGTAATCTTTTCGTGAAATTCATTAAAAAAAAATTCTTGCCTATTAAAAATAATAATAAATACTATTTAGGCAATATATAATAAAGTGGTAATCACACAAATATGAATTATGCAGAAAGAAAAAAATATTTTTAAGAAATAATTTTTAGTGCTAAAATGCCTTTATATTTATAAGCAATACGCAAACACCTACTAATATAACGTGTTAATTTATCTCTCTCAGCCTTTTCTTTTTCAGAAAAAAAAAACATTAGCAATAATAATCAAAAAACCGGTCTAACCCAACTTCATTTCTATTTAAATTCAGCAACTACGCTAAACTCACAAGTAGTAAAAGGTGGGGTATATATAAACGACCTTACCAAATGCGATTCCCTCGTGGTGAACGTGATGGGGTCGTGCGTCTCCCCCGTCGGACACTTGTAATCGAGCCGGCCCGCCACCTGGATCAGATGGCTGCCCGACCGGCCCAGCTCCAGTAAATTCAGCCTTAACGTGTCCGCCACGAATTCCACCTGAAACAAGAGAACGAGGGTTTAATTAGGTTGTAGGGTGGTCGGATACGGTGTCGTTGGGAAGTTTCTGTTTTAGCACTTTGTTAAATTGGGTTAAGAAAAATCGAATACAGAGATATTGAAAATATTTTTTTAGATTAAAAATATTTTCAATATCTCGCTATTTGATTTTCTTAACCCAATTTAACAACGTAACAAACGGAAGTCCAATAACACCCTTATTACCAATAACCTATAATCGTGCATGACGTGAGAACTCAAACCTAATTAATTTAAAAATTAATCTAGTAGGTATATAAAATTCGCGTGTCACAGTTTTAGTTACCATACTCTTGACCGATTTTGATGAAAGGGTATAGCCGATTTAACATGGGAAATCTGCCACCGCAGCTTTTTTTATCACGCACTCAGCGGATCGATTTGGTGTCGAATCAAAATAATTCACCTAGATTTTTAGCTCTTTAACTCAAACGGTTTTTGAGATTTTCAAAAAAACTTGTTTTTTCAATTTTATTTATATTTTTATAGTAAAATTCAAAATTAATTAATGACGATTTTTTTTTCTAATTCTTAGAAGTCTAAGACATGAAAAAATAATATGATCGTGATTCTTAAGCGAAAAGCCGATTTTTAGCGGAGGGAAGAAAAATAAAATCTTCATTTTTTTAACCTTCGTGAAATATGTCACTCACTAAAAATCGTCAGAAAATGTCTTTTATACTCCTTTACACTCAAGAATTTTTTAGAATTTTTTGAAGTGGTGGAACAATATGAAAAAAATTAAAAACTCATTTTTTTTCTAATTTTTTTTTCTAAAATCTTCTAGGACTGATTTTTTTATAATAATCTTTGTTTATTTCTAGCAAGAATGTACAGTGGTGGCCAAAAGTATGGAAACTTTTTTAATTTGTCATTTATGCTGAGAAATTAAAATATGAAATAAAACGACTTATATAATCGTGACCTACAAATAATTTCCTACAAAACCTAATACATTTAAATAAAAAATTACAGCTATCAAAAAATATATAAAAAATTATGAATATTCTCTTGGTCAAAAGTATGGAAACTTAAGAAGAATGTTTATTAAAATTCAAGATAATATAAAAATTACTAATATTTAGTGGAATATCCCTTTGAATTAATTACTTCTCTACATCTTCGTGGCATCGAATCGATCAATCTCGTACAATTTTTACTGGAAGTGGCCGCCCATTCAGTTTTTAGCACTTCTCATAATTCATTTTTATTTGAAATAGAATGGCTTCGAATTTTGCTATCTAAATGGTCCCATAAATTTTCTATGGGGTTAAGATCCGGAGTCTGTGAGGGCCAATCCATTAGTGGAACATTATGTTCATTTAACCAATTTTGAACAAACCGAGATTTGTGCTTGGGATCATTGTCTTGCTGGAACAACCATCTGAGTGGCATTTCTTCATCAGCATGAGGCAGCATATTATTCTCCAATATGTCTTTGTAGAAAAAACGGTCCATTATCCCATCAATTTTAACAAGAGGACCAACCCCTGAGCGAGAAAAACACCCCCATACCATTATACTCCCAACCCCATGTTTTACTGTGGGCATCTGGTACTTATGGCTGTACCGTGTACCTTTTGGTCTTCGGACATAACGTCTCCCGTCACTACCAAACAGTTGAAACTTGCTTTCGTCGCTAAACAGTACAGTATTCCATTTCTGATAAGACCAGGTGAGATGATCTTGAGCAAATTTAAAGTGGGCCATCCTATTTTTCTTTGATATTAATGGTTTCTTCACCGCAACTCTTCCAAAAAGTCCGATGTCATCCAACCGTCTTCTCACCGTGCGTGCAGACACCGATATTCCCCTTTCACCCATTTCTCGAGAAATGTCTGTGGATGTTTTTCTTGGATCTCCCATTGATATTCTCTTCATTACTTTCATTGTCCTGTTGCAGAACTTTCTTGGTCTTCCTGACTTAAAAGCTGTTGAAACGTTCCCTGTTTTATTAAATTTACGAATTGTTTTCGAAACGGTGCCTTTTAAAATGTTTAAATTTTTACTTATTTGAATTTGTTTATAACAGCTCTTGTATAATTCAACTATTTTATTTTTTAAATCCGTAGAGAAATATTTAGACTTGGGCATGATGTTTATATTTATCTGAAGCAAATCGTACCATTTATCAGCTTAAACTAAATAATTTTAATGTATTTATTTATGGTTTCCATACTTTTGGCCACAAGAAATCTATTGTTCTCCTACAAAAACTGCTAAACAGATTTTTTTTTGCTGTGTAATTTTTGGAATACTTTTATTTGCTGATAAGCTGTTCATTTATATTCCTGAGAGTTTAAGCATATTACAGTTGATCTTTAAGCATAGCAATATTTTCTGTGATATTTTAAAAAGTAAAAAGTTTCCATACATTTGGCCACCACTGTAGTTTTAATGAAAAAAATTTTTTCTACTCACTTTCTTAAACTAGACAAAAATATAAGTTAGTTCAAACAGAAGATTTTAGAAAAAAATGAGTTTTTAGTTTTTTTCAAATTGTTCCACCACTTCAAAAAATTCTGGAATGTAAAGGAGTACAAAAGACATTTTCTGACGATTTTTAGTGAATGACATACTTCACAAAGGTTAAAAAATGAAGATTTTCTTTCCTCGGCTAAAAATTGGCTTTTCATTTAAGAATCATGATCATATTATTTTTTCATGTCTTAGACTTCTATAATTAGAAACAAATCATCATTAATTAATTTTGAATTTTACTATAAAAGTAAAAATAAAAATAAAAAAAAATAAAATTGAAAAAACATGTTTTTTTTTAAATATCTCGAAAACCGTTTGAGTTAAAGAGCTAAAAATTTAGGCTACACCCTTTTTTATATTCAGTAGGTCTGAGAATAGGTTGTTATCTATTTTTTTATATAGTAAAGTGATAAGGGTGGTTCACCCCATTTTTTTATTTCTTAGACAAAATTTTTGATTAAATTTTTGGTTTGAAAAAATTTTTGCGTTCTATTTTTTTATGATGTGGTACTTTTACGATCAACCCCTATTTTTTTAATAGCAATACTAGTAATTCAATAATTTTCAACCCCGCGCACAGTGTGAAATTTTGACGTTCTAGGTGGAATTAATTCGATTTGCCAACTTTATCCCAGGTCCTAAGTTATTGTAAAATTTATTCAAGGAATGTCCATTCATCAATAAAAAAACATATGTTTATTTTTAAAATCAAGCTTATTATTTAAAAATGCTTATTACTTTATCTTTCGGACAAAACGATAAAATCATCTAAAATATCTAGCCCGTTTAGTCAAATTTTGCAGGCGTTTTAGTGAAAAGTGTTTACTTTCACGGAATAACTACATTGATATTTCACTAACTATGTTTTGAAGCGGAGAATCGATTGCAAAAGTCATTAAGTACGATTTCTGGCTATTTATGTTTTATTTTAATACCGAATAGTTACTAACTATAACATCTTTATGCAATGCAATTCATTTTTAGACGCATTTTTCTCGGAAGTAATAAAAAGTAAATTAGTGACTTTTGGCAGCAATGGGACGAAATATTATTATATATGGTATTTTTATGCTTTCATTTGTATCTAATTGCCTGTATCTAATTTTTGCTTACATTTTGGGAACAACTTGATTTTTTCCCGTTTTTTTCTTGTAAATTTAATCTACTACCTATGTTGCCATATTATGACCTTTTAAAAAAATTATTTTTTTTTCAGAAACTATTTGAGACAGAGTTTACCAAAAATGCTTTTTATAACTACTACTGGGTAAACGAATTTTTAGTATAGTATGACTTTTTTTGATACTTTAGTTTCGGAGATATAAATTTAATCGGACCTTTTAAAAAAAATATTTTTTTTTTCAGAAACTATTTGAGACAGAGTTTACCAAAAATGCTTTTTATAACTACTACTGGGTAAATTAATTTCTAGTATAATATGACTTTTTTTGATACTTTAGTTTCGGAGATATAAATTTAATCGGACCTTTTAAAAAAATTATTTTTTTTTCAGAAACTATTTGAGACAGTTTACCAAAAATAATTTTTATAACTACTACTGGTTAAACGAATTTTTAGTATAGTATGACTTTTTTTGATACTTTAGTTTCGGAGATATATCATGATATGTTTCTAAACTAAAAATTTAAAAAATCCAAATTTTTTTTCAAAAATTCCAAATTTTCATTTTTTTTTCATGAAAAAAACCTCACAGACGTATTTCTGGGGTCGAAATATACTACCCCTAGAAATATTTGCACTGATTTAAGACTCATCCTGACTTATTTTTCACGTTATTTTTGTCTTTGTTTTTTAATAACTTTTGGCTTAATTTATTTTAATTAAATTAATAGTTATATTATATTTATATTATGTTTAAATTAATAGTTAATCGTAGAGAATATTTTTAATTATAGAAAAATATTAATTAGTAAAAAATGATATAAAAAATTACTTGAGGGTTGCGGCCTCCTTTCCACACGTTGGACCAGCAAACATGGTACTGGTACAATCACAAATAAACCGGTTCCATCCTTCCAAACAGGTACCTCCGTTTAAGCAAGGCTGAGATGGACACTGCTGAGGCTGCGTATGACACAATGTCCTTATTGAACCTGAAATAAAAAATTACTTATATTACATTATGTTTTTGTAAATATATGTTTCACATTTTAAAAACTAACTTTACTTCTTTATATAAATTTTAATCATATTTAAATCTAGAATGCCTCTCTATCTAAAGAAGCAAACATTCGACCAATCTGTACTACCAGTCATGACATATGCATGCGAAACCTGGACACATAAAACGGACATCATAAGGAAACTGCAGGTCGCACAACGCTGAATGGAATGAAATATGCTGGGAATAAGCAAGGACGACCGTAAAAGAATAGAGTGGATATGACAAAAGGCCCAGGTAATAGACGTCATCCGCAGAATCAAATCCCTCAAATGGCAATGGGCAGGACACTGGAGAG